ACCACAAGGGACCCATCAGCACATTCACAATAGGACCAGGCACTCCTGTGCAGGAGGTTTGTGCCCCTCTGGTGCTAGGAAAAGAAAACAGACTGAGCTCCAGCAATCATGGGGCCCACCCACACTGGGCAAGCTTCTGGGGCCTTAGGAACCTTGCCTCTCCTTTCCCATTAAATGAGGATTACAGACAAGATGAAGTGAGGTCAAAAATATAAAACACTCATCGCTGAGGCTAGCCCCTAAAAGGTCCTTAATAACTGTGGAGGTCCCTGACCCCAGACAGAAGAGATGAAATAGCTTGTGACTGCTGGAATCTGGGTGCTGTAGATCATGGCTTGGCCCAAGGTCTGTGGTCTGTACTCTTGTGCACTAGGCAGGAATGGGAATACTGAACTCTGTATGCACACTGGATGTAAGGAGATAGACTAGGCATGAGAGGCTAGGACCTGACCCAGATCTTTTCATTCCCATCTCAGCAGCAAAATTCAGGAACCTGTGAGTGAGGTTCGTCAGTGTGCTGCCACTGTCTGCATCAACAATATTATGGAACCAAAAACACAAGCAATTCTGAACTCTTCCCAATCACACGAGGGGCAAGAGAATCTTTGTGAATATAAAATTCAACTTCTAGCAGATGAGAGCAATGCAGATAAAAACACAAACTTCAAACTCTGGTGAGATTCAGTGGTTTTGAGAAAGATCTAGCACCACTTGGCATTGTCTTGGTATCTTGAGGTCTTCATGCTAATCTATTTAACCCTTATGCCAGACACTCCAGGAGGCTAGGCCATATCTTTAGAAGATAAGAAAGACAGAGAATTGGGTGTCCTGACCAACATTTCAAGGCAGAAGAGGTCTAAACTGTGGTCAGAATGAGAATTTCTTCAATCTCAGTCTCTTCCACGTTCCTTAGGGAGTCTCAGCAGTTAGGGGACAACCAAGTTAGTGGTCATAAACAGGTCCAGTCCACTCCATACTTAGAAATCTATAGTTATATCTGCTCTGTGGTTAAAGACAGAAAGCAAACACAGGATTCATGGGCCTAAACTTGAAGATGTGGGCAAAGGTACAGGTTTCATGGTTAAGTGGTAGATGAGGTGAAAGATTCTCCCCCCTCCCCCTCAGGCCTAAAGTAAGCTGAGGTTATCTGGTCAGTGACTCCACTTGAAGCTGAACCACTGAGTGACAATCTCTTGGGACTGGCTCACAGTGGCTGTGGAAGGATAGGTCTCTGGCCTCATCTGTAGTGTGTGTGTGTGTGTGTGTGTGTGTGTGTGTGTGTGTGTGTGCGCGCGCGCGCGTGCACATACACATGCACATGCATGCAGGCAGCCAGAGGTTGAAAGCAGTTGTACTCCTTCATCACTGTCCACTTCATTTTTTGAGTCAGGGTTTCTCATTGAACCGGGAGCTCATCAATTCAGTTAGGTTGACAAGCCAGTGACCCCCTTTCTGTCTCTACTTCCCCAGCTCTGGAATTACAGGCAGGTGACATCCTATCAGGCTTTTGACCTGGGCTCTGGACTCTCCCAACTCTTGACCTCGTGTATGTATGGCAAGAACTCTACTGACTATTATCTCCCCAGTTCTCAAACACTATCTAAAACACCAGAATCTTCCATTTCTTGCCAGCTTTGTTCTCTTCTGAGTGGTAGCCATGTCTGGGTTCTGTTCTACCTCAGCTCCTTGAAGCACAGAAGAACACACAGGGCTTCTGTTTCCTCTCAGTCCCAAGGATCTGACTTACTGGCTAAGAGATTTTAAGCTTTAATTACTGCTGCTTCTTCTGTGGCGGAGGACCCTTGACATTAGCAAAGATCCCCACACTTGCGAATATCATCCAAGGGTTCTACTTTTCCTACAAACACAAAAACTCTAATCCAAAACTGTGAGTGGCCCATTTAGACCCTTAACAACTGTATCAAGAAGGCTCTAAAATCTTCCAAGACGCTATTTATGATCTGTGTCTCTGGAGTCGTGTTTTTGGGGAGATGTGCATGCTTTCTGGGTGCATCTTCGCATCAAAGGCCAGGTAGTCCTTCCCAACTTCTTCAACATTGTCGGTCTCTTCGCCAATAAGCAGTCTCATGCAGGCTGGAACATTCCCTGGGTGGCTTTAGGAATTGCTTATTCTTGTTTCTGGAAAAGAAACTTGAGGGGGCTCTTGCTTCACAGCTCAAAATTGCCCACACGCACATACTGCTCTTTCCTGAGAGTTCCCATTCTGCACGAGGTACCTTCCATGCCTTCACTTCCCTCACTGGCACCCAGAGCAGCTCTCTTTGCACAGCCCTTTCCCCAGGGAACGTGATGAGGATGGGAGGCCAAGTTCATTGCCAGGATAACTCTCTCTTTCCAGCTGCCTACCGTTCAGGCAATGGACTTCAAATCTGACCTTTGGAAAAACTACACATGACCACAAGTTTTGACGCTTCGGGGGGGGGGGGCGTCTCTGGGAATATGGTCCAGGGCCCTTCTGAATTTGTGTTTTGGCTTCTTCTTTTCTGGTATGCAGTCTTACAGACACTTGCCTGAGTGCTCCTATGATCTTTGTCCACTGGGTTCTGATGATTTTCTTACGAGAAACACGTCCCTTTGTTTTGGGGGCTGGGTCTTCCTACCTATTTGGACCACTTGCAATTCAGCATCACTGAAAGGCATGCCTGACAGAGGACACACAGGTCCTGAATGGACCATCACTTCCACAGCAATTGAGATGGTGACAGGAGAGTCCCACATGGTTTCCAGCTACAGATCCCAAAGCCTAGATACTGATTCTGAATTACTGAGAAAACCCCTAATCAAGCCACCAAGTCTTGAAAAAGCACTTTAGTGACCCTCCCTTTCATATCTTAATCAACAGTGAGACAATTAACCAAATGACTAGGATCTCTGATTTATAAGTCAAATGGGTCGAGCCAACAGTTCCTAATATGGTAAGTATAGTATTGAAATTGGACAAATGGGTGAGTTAGAATTTCCGTGATTGAAGGCATAGAAATTTGACAGTCTAACTAGAGAACAGGCAGAGGGGAGAGAGCCATCCGCACACCAAGGAGAGAGACCTCGGCAGAAATAAGACCTGCTGACCCCTTGGCCTTGAACTTGCAGGATGAAGAGCCTCCAGAACTTTGAGGAACTAAATGCCTGCTTTTAAAGCCACCCAGGCATTCATGCTTCATTATGACACTAATAGAGTCACACAGGCCACAAACAAACACAACCTAGAGGAGGCGACTGAGCGAGGACTGTTGAGGTGAATGCAATGGAAGTGTGGAAGGGATTAGGTAATCTTAAAGGGAATCATCTTCATCAGGGAGGCGTCTCCCAGACATTCAAGGGCCAGCCCCTCTCAACATACTGTGCTGATAAAGACATGATGGAATGGGAAAGATATTAAAGGGGGCAAAGATAGAAAAGTCAGTGACACACTGACTGGCCTTGTCTGGGGTGCTGCTGAAGCGAGGAGCCCCTCAGGAGTCCTACAGGGACAGAACATTGTATAAGTCAGGCAAGTGACAGGCTACAAACCCAACCTGCAGGGACCTTGGCCTCAGGCTGTCTGGATTCCTGATACAGGTCTCCTGGACAGTTTAGAAGCTCCCAGCATTCTCTCTTGACTCTTGGCATTACCAAACACATGGCTGAGTATCTGCCTCATCTGATGGGAGACTTACAGCATGTGCTCTTAGATACATGCACCAGTCAGAGCTTACTGTCCACACTGTCGGGATAGCCTTCCTCGTGTGCTAGGGCAGCCCAGTGATCCAAACTGTGGTGACAGCAAGCCTTCTGATAGCAGTGCTCTTGTCCCTGCAGGCCTTGGCCGACTGCCCCACATCTGAGTTCTCTTCCACTAAGGACCCACCACGAGAGAAAACCAGATGTTGTCATTATAGCTCTATCCAGATCTTAGCCATCATCTAGCTGGTGAACTTACCTGGTCCCACTATGACTCTCACTCTGCTGTGCTTGCCTTCACTCTGATCTTTGACCTTTGGAAAAATGACCCTAGCAGTGGCGAGTTCTAGTGGGGCATGTTGGCGTGCACACTCAACACATCACACAGCACTTAAAACCTACCAACTTGCTCTGATGGGCCCATGTTAAGATTGTACCACAAGCACAAATATATCTGGGAAGGAAATGTTCACTCCTCAAACCGATCGCAGAAAATCCCAAAGGGAAAATCATTTCTGTGGGTAGACAGCATCTGGACAAAGGGTACTTGTACAAGGTCCCAATTCAGAAGCCTTATCATCCCCAAGCGTGGCACCATCTAAGCCACCCCTGGTAAGGTGGCTAGCATGGAATAGAGAAATCCTTCACTAGTGGCTATTACCACAGTGTTAGCCAGTGAGGGACTTTCTGTGTGTGAGTGTATCCAAATAATGTTTCTGGTCAACAGATACTGTTTGTAGTCAAAATACATTAATATTCCCACACAACAGATTCCAAGGAGGACAAATGAAATGTTTGAATAACCCAAGCATTGTAGACTCCTGAATACTGTTCTTTCACCTTTATACTCATTTTTTTCCTTCCTGTAATCACCCACAGACGTTTCTTAAAAAACAAACCTGATAACGTCAAAAGATGAGAAAGGCTAAACTCCGAGAAAACAAAGAGACCATAAATCAGGAAAACTTTGCGGTTACTAGAAAGACACTTTAATTTTCTAGACAAAAGGCTGCATTAAGGAAGGATAATGCAATAATCAAAGGTGAAGGGATCTCCATTGTCTGGCGTCTTTCTCTGTGGGAATTTTCCCACCCCTGACAGCTGTAAAGGGGGGAGGGGCGCTGGCTGTGGCTGCGCCTTTATTCTCTCACCCCTCTTCTCTCCGCGTACCCCCGCCCCGTTCTGTCAGTAAATGTCTGCAATCATATTCTTGAGCTCCTGTGTGATTTCAAGGTTCATCTCTCCCATGCAGCTCAAACACTAATTATCCCAGCTGTAATTAGTAAGATAATTAAATACTGGCTCACTCATCACTCTACCTTGGGTCGGGTCGTGATTCTCCCAGAAGACCTTGAGCAGCTCCTCAAAGCTGACGCGCTCTGGCTCGTACACAACCCTGACGACTTCTGCATGGCCGGTTTTTTCTGGAGAGAGACAGAACATACAACCCAATTTTACTGATAACATCAAGTCATTGCAAGCTGTTGGTGCTCAAAAGACCCCGCAGATGGAGGCTGAACTCTTCTCTCTGATGGAAGGGCACAAGTGTAATTGGATTTCAGCTACTGGGCTCATCCCAGTCTCTGTCCCCAGTTATAAAGGCACAGTTATCCCCCTGCAGTTCCTGGGATGAAGACTTCTCCTGCATCCCTTCGTATGAGAACTAAACTCCACTTTCATTTTTCTCCCTCTCTCCTCCCTGCATTTATTCAGGTGTCGGTCATGTGTGTGGGTATGCATATGGAGGCTTCAGGCGGATGTCGGGAATCATTCCTGGTGGGTACACATATGTGGGCGTGCATATGGAGACTTCAGGCGGATGTCAGGAGTCATTCCTGGTCACTGTTCTACCTTATTCACTGGGGTACACTTCTCAGTCAGACCTACAGGTTGACAATATGGCTACTCTCCTTGCTGTTGCTCTGAGGACCTCCAATCTCTCTGCTGCTAGAATTACAGGCGAGCTGCCGCTCCCACCCTGACTTTTATTTTATGTGGGGGCTTGGGGACCTGAACTCCAGCCCTCACACTTGTAAAGCACATGCCTTAACTGCTGAGCCGTGTCCCCAAGCTGAATTTTCACTTTTCTAATCTGACTTTTATGAAGTCTAGAACCAGTCTGACCCAGTACTTAGGACCGGAAAATTGGCCAAAGGGACTTGCTGATTTCTTTTTACATCATCCTATGCTATGCGGGACAGGCTCAGCTGAAAGTACAGTTCCAGAGAGAAAAGCCTGTAGGAATAGACTGCGAACTCATCCCGATTAGATATACTAGTTTAGTGGTGAGACACAACAGCTGTGCTCTGAACACTGAGGGTGGAGTTAGACAGAAGCACCAAGAAGGTTCATATTTTCTCTGCCCAGTTCCTCTCTGTGGTAAAGATCAATGTCAGAAAATGTCTTTTGCAGAGTACACTGTGAGTGAGTTTGTTCTCACGGGCAACCCTGAAGCTTCCAGGATGGGAGGGACATGCATGCCCACATACTTCTCACAACTGTCAAGTTCATGTTCTTCCTATTGTCCAGTCTCACACCCCTGCACAATAGGCCTCCCCAAACAACACTATCTCTGTATTCAAACCTGCTCCCTCTCTCTTTTCTGTCGCCTTATATATTGTAAAGAATTTGGCCTTGTCCAAAGAGAGGTCTGGTCTTTGCCCTTGGTGCCTGGGAGATAAACTGTAAGATATCCAACAGAAATGAGACTGTCCACACTGAATTTTACAACGAGGTGAACTCTACTCTATAGTCTTAAGGCGGTTCTGACCATGCAGAAAGAACGACCATGAGGCCTTTGGTTGGCATGCTATACTAGTTAACCTGGAGGCCAACTCCAACCACACTGACAATCATTCCGTTGATCATGCCGACATGAAAGGCGGCGCCTGCATAAAATCCTGGGGCACCAAGGCTCGGGTGAGTTTTGCAGTTGAGCAATGCCTTGTACACTGTCGTGCATAGATGCTGGAGACTAACTTATCCCAGTTCTGCTGGAGAAAGTTCAGAAGTCTCCGGAACCCATCCAGACTCTGTGCTTTGCATCTCTGACTGATCTGGAGCCCTTCACTGTTCTGGTAATTAATCATGACCATTCTTAACACTGAATTCTGATGGCCCTTCATGCAAATGACCAACTATGAGGTAGTCTGAGGAGGGAGCTCTGAACTTAAGACTCAGAAGGTCAGAGGGTTCACTTGCACGTGAGCTTTCTTACTTTAGTTCTTTCTGAGAGCAAAACAGACAGAAACTCCATTTTACGAAGCAGACAGCCATGATCCACATAGGTTAGATCTACACAAGGCCACACAGCTAGTGAATATGGGCACTACAACCTAAACACATGTGCCTGCCAACTCTGCATCCAGGGACCACTCACTATGACAAAGGAGACCAAGCAAGGTGAACATGGGGAACCTGAGCCCAGAAAAGGAATAAAGTCTCTCATTCACTCTAATTTTTAATATGTAAATTTATTTCTTTATATTATAGGAGTGATGTTCAAGAATAATATTAAGTCAAGAAGATGTAAGGAATGTAAGAGAAGTAACAAGGAGGAAATCAAATCACCCACGGCAATGAAGGTTTGTGCGAATGGCACTTACACTCACGACATAACACTCCATCAGATGGCTGTCCGATTCCTTCTCACCCATTTCCTATGGCTGGGCATTTACACGGAATCCTATGTCAAGCCACAAATGTAAATATTTTCCCACACTTCAGAGGCATCTCAAGTCACAGTTGAATAACTGGAATGTCTGGATCAACACTTATAAATATTGAAAGATTTCTTGGTGCCCAGTGCCAAACTCCTCCTCAGTAAAGCCGACCACATTTGCCTTCCCCATGAGCAGCATGAAGGCCGGTCTCAGTCACTATTATGGTCTTTTTAATCCGTAGCATTCATAGCTGGAGGAGAGGGTTCTGCGTCAGCTGGAGTGGGTTCCTTATTACTAAACACTGAATTTCATGTTAACTGACCAATTTAGTTTTTTCTTTAATGTTGGTTGTGTTCTTTTTACAATGAGCTACTAGTGGTTAATATATTAAAATTTATTACTAATTAGTTAATCCAGACAATTTTATTCAGATACCATAGTAATAAAATTTAGTATCTAAGCAGATTATTTATTTGTTTATTGTTTCCCCCATTTCTTGTGTGCATGTGGCCCGTGTGTTTTCATGTGTGGGGGTACAGATGTGGAGGAGCACCCATATGTGTGCATGCTGAGGCCTGAGGATGATGTCTGGAATCATCTGGTCCCTCCCTCTTCTGCCTTGTTCTTTGAGGCAGGATCTCACAATCAAACCCAGAGATGACCAATGTCAGTGTTGCTAGTCAGCCTTCGCTGGGGATCCCCGACTCCACCTTTAGGGACTGGAATTACAGGTGAGACACCATGCCAATACCCATCATATACACAGGTTTCATGGATCTGAACTATGAACTCACACTTGCAGCAAGCACTTAAACCACTGAACCTTTTCCCAGTCTTTATGTTGACAGGTATAAAAGGAATGGTCATGGGCAGCTTAGACCATACGGCATGAATAACAGTGATTATAGCAAACACGTCTGGTCTATTATACATCTGATTTAATCATTTGAAATGTCAAAATGAATGATTTAACTACTATAGTGATTCAGTGACTTGATAATATGAAAAACATTAAGGGGCCAGGGTGGGGGAAGGGCTCAGTGGTATGGTGCCTGCCTCACAAACATAAGGGCTTTGGTTTGGATCTCACGCTCCCATATAAAGAAGCTTGGCACAGTGGTTCTTCTCTGTAACAAATCTGGGGTGTTTGCTGTACAGACAGGTGGCTCCCTAGAACCTATTGGCCAATTAGCATAGCCAAATCAATAAAATTCAGACTCAGGAGAGACTGTGCCTCAAAAAATAATGTGAAGAGTGATGGAGAAAGAAACCTGATGCTGACCCCTGACCACCACACACATATATATGTGCACATACCCACATGAATACATCTTATACACACACACACACATACACACACATACACAAAGCATTTAGGCCCTCTGAATGTTAAAAATGGTAATGATATGTTGTAAACCTGACAAATGTTTTGGTATAAAAAAGCGTTGAAACCCGACAAGACATATGTAAGCCAGAGATGCAAGCAGGTGCTTCACATAGGAAGCAACAACTGCACTTTAAGACATGACATGTGCAACGTTTTCAGTGATTTAGTGAAAGCCAATAAATGCACACTGGAACGATAGTGCGCCGTTTATTATTTATGACCTCTGAAAAGTGTGTGGCGATACTGAAGAAACAGTGAAGCCCGCTTCAGTTGACCCATGACAGGGCAAAGATGGCTAAGTTGTTTTAGAAAGGTCACTTGCGTTTGTGTAAAGGGCCGGGAAAATGTTCACATGCATCGATGAGGTGAGCCAGAAGTCCAACTCATGAGTGTAACCCCCGGTAATGGGAAGATACATAAATGCCCAAAAGATTTACTCTTCCATTTCTACAATGGTGGAGAACTGTAAGAAGTGCAGATATATTTGATTAAATATTGCTATTTTGACTGCACCAAAACAGTGGTGATCATACGCACAAAAATGTGTGTATATTTTGTGGCTGGCTTATTTCACATGGCATAATGTCCTCAGATCTATCCATGCTGCAACATATGCTAGAATGTCCTTCCTTTTGTCCCATCCCATGGTGTGTGTATACATGTTCGCATGCATGTATGAACCATATTTTGTTTACCCATTCAACCACCAATGGACACTTGAGTTCCCTCTTCTGTTTAGCTTCTATGAACACAGAATACAGATACTGCTTACTGTTTACTGGTGCAAGAAAGACACGGCTTCCTTTACAGATGGGCAAGCTAAGGTCTCTTTGCAAGTTTTCTCACACAGTCACACAGCTAAGAAGCAATGGGATCCAAACCCGCCACCAAGCTTTAAGTGCAGGTGAATTATTTGAGCATCCAATGACCCCAAGTAAAGATTTTAGAACAGAGGAACTGGAAGCCACCAGGAGAGAGCAGATGGTACACAAGCAGTGACCCATATGAAAATTCACACCTGTGTGGCAATGGGTACCCAGACTGATAGCAATGTGGGATTAGGAAGAATTTTTTTTTTTACTTTTACTAGTGGAAGGGGGAGAGTAGGTGTGGAGGCCAGAGGGCAACTCTGTGACGTTGGTCCTCTCCTTCTATATAAATGTGGGTTCCAGGGATCAAACTCAGGTCACCACATTTTCAGAGTAAGCTTCATCCTGTGATTCATCTCGCTGGCCCGGAAAGGATTTTCCCTCCCTAGCAAACACCTCTAGCTATGATTTCCACCAGCGTTATTTGTAAAGAGGCTTTAAGAAGCCTGGCCATTTAAAGGAAACTATCATTTAAGTTCAAGCCCCAATTTGCATTGGCAAACAGT